TGAACAACAAAGCTTTGGTTTTCTATGTCATGTCCCAAATTTTGGAACCATTTGGTTAATATTCTGATAGATTAGGCAATAATGTATACATATAACAAAAAAATAATGCAGGTGTGTGCATGTGTGTATATAATTTGTATTTGCAAATTAAAAAGAAAATTTTAAGAAACATATTTGACAGAGAGGTAATTAGGGAGATGAATAGAGGGCACTAGGAACACTGTAAGGATATCAGCATTTATTCCGGAGGTGGGAAGACACAGCAGGACCCTGCAGAAAGATACGACATGATGAATCTTATGCTGACTGCTTCTTTTAAAAAATTAATTATAACCTACTGTTATGGTTTGTGTCTAGTTGTCCCCTAAAGCCTCACATAGTCATGGGGTAGGTGCTAGAGTTTGTGATTAATTGTTGACCCAAAGCTGGCAATAGGGGTATGAGTGCTACACCCACTGGGGGACAGGCAGCTACATGCAAATGTAAGGAGGGGAGAGAGGCTGGCTGGCTGCTGCAGCTGCTGCTCCTCCCTTCGCTCTTCGCCGTTTTCCACCTCCATGAGCTGCTGCCCTCTGCCATGTACCGCTCTGCCTTGGAGCCAGCCAAGTATGGACTGAAGCCTCCACCAAGTGTGAGCTAAATAAATCTTTCCTTCTTTAATTTGGGGTGTTGGGTATTTTGTCCCAGCCACAAGAGAAAAGTAACTGAGTCATCTACTCAACTTCTTAACTTCCTGGAGTATTCTTTGAAACACCTTTTAAGCCTCAAGACCTATTTAGAGTGAAAGTACAAAATAAGTATTATGGAATTGGATTACTGTGGCCTTTCCTTCTTTTAGAGAATACCTAAAATGATGTGCAGATCCAGTGAGTCCCTCACACCTGCTGAAATTCATCCTGGTGGACAGGATGGCGCCAGCCAGTGAACACGAACTGTTCAGAACACCAGGAAACAGTGACAGCAGAGAACAGAACTTCAGTATGTCACCAGTGAAATGCTTCTGGTTTTTTGATTACAAAGTATTTTACAAATATTTATGAGATCTCAATATTGTCTTATGAGTAATAAAACTTCTACTAGGCCTACACAGAGACATTAGTCTTTATTATTTTTTTTTTTTTTGAGATGGAAAATGGCCATGGCCATTCAACTGTGAGTCTCCTTACCTGCCTTGTCCAGCCCCAGGCAAGCAGAGAAGGCACAAAGCTGTGTTTCACAAATATTTGTGCTTCCATGTAGTCCCTTCCTCACCTTAATTCTAGTCTACATGGACGTGCAGGGCTAAGTCCAGATCTGTTATATAACATTACTTTAAAATATATCATTCCAAATGACAAACATTGTATCAATTATATGAAGACACTAAAACTTTATAAAGGTATCATTAAGATATAGACATTATACAAAGGAAACTGTATCCTAATTTTTTTCTCAAATTCACAAAGATAGTTACCTAAAAGGAATTCCGGAGCTTGCTCAAATTCCAATCCATCATTGTTCAACATAATATTTCTAGGCAGGTCAGCCAAAACCAGGTCAGGAGCAATCTGAGATATAGGAATTTTGAGTCTTGGCTGGTCTGGATTTACCAGAAGGTCCCCTGAGAAGTACAAAAGATTTTAAAATACAGAGAGAGAGAGAGAGAGAGAGAGAGAGAGAGAACACAACAGACCAGACAGACAAGACAGACAGACAGATGGACAAAACAAGACAGACAGATAAGACAGATAGACAGACAAGACAGACAGACAGATGGACAGGACAAGACAGACAGATAAGACAGATAGATAGACAAGACAGACAGACAGATGGACAAGACAAGACAGATAGACAAGACGGACAGATGGACAAGACAAGACAGATAGATAAGACAGACAGACAAGACAGACAGACAAACAAGACAGACAGACAAAAATACATTTGTGGGTTTGACTTACAAAACAATCACACATTTTCTATCATTTGTCATCACTTCCTTAAGATTTATTTTTACCCATCCTATATTTTTCAAGAAAATTTTAAAGGTCTATTTAATAGCAATCTACTTAGAATTTTAAAACCTCATTCCTAGATTCATTCATTAATAGAATTGAGAATAGCCTCTGACTACGGGGTATCTAGCTAGGAAATTATTTATTTTCTGCTTTTGTCACATCTATGAATCTGATATTGTATCACACAAATGTTATCTCCCTTTGTTGTTATATTGTAATCTTCTTAACAACGATTTTTCTTTTTTTTTTTTTTTTTTGTAGTACTAGGGATTGAACTCAGGACCTTGCGCTTGCCAGGCAAGTGCTTATTCTACTGAGGTATCTCCCTGGCCCTAATCTTCTGAACAATTTTATGAGAACAGTTTGGTTTGTATTCTCATTTTACAGACAAGGCTGGGTTACTCAAAGGGTCAATATACAAACCCTAACATTTAGAACAACAGGATCTTAGTAAAAAAAAAATGTATCTTTCAGAATTGACATTCTAATTGAACATACTATCTTTTAATGCATCTTTTATAGCTAAGAATAATTTTAACTTAAAAAAGCCACTTAGAAGAAGCAGGGACTGCTTAAAAGTATTTGTAAGTTTCTTACCTTCTTCTGCTTTCTTCATCAGGTCATCAAGCAAGATTTTGTGATGTTCTTCACCATCGTTAAAACTATAGAGTGCCCATTTCTTCAGCAGAGTTTCTCCCTCACCACAAATATCGATCTCCAGTAAACCAGGAAACCATTCCTCCATGAGAGAATCAATATGGTCCACAACTTGGCCCAAAAGAATGCAGCCTATGTAATTCCAAAAGAGAGCTCATGAACCCTATGTTGCCACAAAGCCCAAAAAGAGAAACTTAAAAGTTGTTTCGTGTTGTCTTATTTTGTTGAAATGGGGTTTCTCACTACGTTGCCCAGGCGGATCTTAAACTCTTGGGATCACATGACCTTCCTGTTTCAGCTGGGACTACAGCCACATGCCACCACCAACTCTGAAAGGAGTGTTTTTGTTTTTGTTTTTTTAATTTAGACTTCTTTGGTGGTACAATTTGAAGTTTTGAATTAATTTTCTTACCTTTTCTACAAGAAGGAACTGTAATTTTTAAGAAACTCTCTTGTTGATTGCCTAAGACCACAGATCCTACCAGACAGTAAGCTTCAGGAGACCAATTCAAGTAGATGCCCTGTCGCCAGTACATTCTGTTTGGGCGAAGAACTCGTTCTGAAAGAAGTTTAAATGGGGCCATGTATATCTGTTAATTCTGACTTCTACATAAAGAAAAAAAGCACTATCCACTCCAAAGTAACTGGTATGCAAACAGACTTGTTTTGAAGGACAGTATTAGGTCATTTATGATATAGATCATCATTCATATCTGTATAAATGTTATATGACATATTTGTTCCTTTATTTTGCAATAAAATAAATGGCCACAGATTACCTACAATATTTAGATGGCAATGGAATACCCATCCCTGACAAAACTGAACAAAAAAGGTGATATAAATGAAGGACAATTTTGTATCTGTATATACTAAATAGGATACATATATAGCAACTTTCTCTTAATTCAGTAAGAAGAAAGATCTGTACTAATAGTGTTTGGACAGAATATCACGTCTGCATCTTATGCTATGAATGACTACTACAAAGACAACTATATGCAATGTATTAATTGTAACTCTCCTACCAATCTGTTTTGAAGCTGTCACATTGCAATTTTTTTCTCAATAAAATTAATTAAAAAATAAAAATAAAATAAAATAAAACAGATTACATAAGACACAATTCAGGTACATGCTAAGTAGTAAGTAGTTTAACATGATTAATATGTGAATAAAGAGAATCATAAATAAGTTCCTATAATTTTTAAAAAGCTGTAATCATACATATTAAAGGTCATTCCTGGACTTTGTAAATGTATAGTGACTATCTGTTAATTCCAAGCAAGATAAGGTTTAATTCAGAAACCAATAGCACCTGTATAAAATGCTCTTAAAAACAAAAAATGGTATTGTTTTGGAATACTAAATTATTACTCTAGGACAAAGAGCTGGCATTCATTATACACACCCATCTTTTGTCCTCATCTGTAAATGTCTCAGATATTCAGCAACATAACAGGTATTATAGTCCATACCCTGAATGGGCTAGTTCTGTTCTATCTGTTGAATAAAAGTTCCTTCATCATGCAGCTGTCATTTCTTTTTCCCTTGGTGCGTGTGTGTGTGTGTGTGTATGTGTGTGTGTGTGTGTGTGTATTAAGTCAATGACTTCATATCTATAAAATTATTGCTTCTTCTTTTTTTTTCCAACCAGGAATTGAACTCTAGAACACTTTCCAGGGAGGCACTTGTGCCACTGAGCTATACCCCCAGCCCTTTGCTTCTTTTTTTGTTGTAGCTTAGAAAGGAAGATATCCTTAGTTGTTGGAAATGTGTCGAAAACAGAAATAAATTGGCTTGGGTAAGGAGCTGAGGGATTTTCTTCCAGATAAAATGTATGGCTTTAGCTGTGCCTGTGTAGCTTTGTATAGACTCCTTTGAGACTTGATAGACTTATTTTCTAACTCAGTAGCCTCCCAGACAAGGGAACATATTAATTATTTTTCCTTAAATTCTCTAAATTGTGCTTTCATTAAGTATATACCTCTTCCTGAAAGCATGTAAGGTGAAATTTCAAGTAGCCGATTGATTAATCTTGACCAAAATCCCATTGGAAAATAAGGCATCTCGTATAGTCGAATGATAATTTCCGAGTTCTCACAATGGGGAAGCTCTATCACAGGACTGTGGTCAGACAAACTGAAAAAGAAAAGAACACCGTTTTTCTATCACTTAGGTAACACCCAGCCATGTTGATGGAAGGGCTGACTTTCAATCAACAAAATTAACTATTTTAAGAAAATCTACCTTCTTAGTAGTATTTTTTGGTATATATGCATCATACGTAAAAAAATTCAGTGGTCATTTCATCAATTCAAATGTGTACTCAGAAGTAGTACATGCATGATTTTTTTATTAATCCTATATATATGCTAATGAATTGTTGCAATTAGTTATACACAAATATTAAGATTGTATATAAGGTAAAAATTACACATCTTAGAGAAAAGTGTTATATCTTCTTTTACAACTGCTTATCATCTACTGATCAATATAATTTGCATTTTATTCAATTAATAGAGAGATTTATTCTAATAGTGCTTGAGACAGGATATTAGGTCTGCAATTTGTACAATGAATAACTACTAAGACAACAATATGCAAAGTATTAATTATTGAAAATGTACTAGTAATCAGTTGTGAAACTGTCTCATTGCTATTTGTTTCTCAATAAAAATATTAAAAAATAGCCAAAAAATACATAATTTGCATTTTTAACAGCATGTTACTTTACAATAAATCTCAGTTGCTTATAAGCAACAAGAAAAAGTTGCACAATACAGGGGTATTGTGATGTCACAATAGGCCTACACCCTGATGACATAAGTTCTTTCAAAACTACTGCAAAGCCACCACTGTATTTCCCAAGAACTTCTCTAATATAACATTCTCCTTGTCATGTAAGGGTATTGCTACACACACACACACACACACACCCCTTCACAATTTATCTTTCCCATATAATTTCAGTAGTGGCAAGCCAAACAAAAATCACATATATTAAAAAAATCACATAGATTAAGTAACCTATTCATTATACCTTTTAAGCATCAAATCAATGCTTTCATTAAAAGTACATGCTGTATTTTAGTAAAAAGTTAACAAAACCAGGCAAAAAATAGTCATATCTATTACACATCGAAGTCACTTTAACAATTAAAATAACAATGAATTGACATGGAGAAGTTAAATTTTTTAAAGTTTATTTTACCTGCTTGGAACCAGCAAATTCTCTTCTCCTATTGGCAAGGCAATCTGAAATTTCTCTAGGAGTTTAAAGTACTGCGTCATATAGTTCTTTGGAAATCGCCTCTTCTTTGAAAGAAACTTCTCCACGTCTCTGCGTGAAATGATCCCCTTAGGGTGCTTTGGACAGTCTTCTACTTTTACTGTCAGAATCTGAAAGATTTAAACTCATAAATAATCACTAGGATTCATCTTCTGAAATGTTTCAAATTTATCTCTCTCTGCTCGGTGAAGGTGAAGAGAACAATTCGTCCAGTACAACACAGTATCTAATTTCCCTAGCAGTCGGGTTGCCTAGAAGCCCAGCAAGACACCCATCCTCAGAAAACATTTGTTAAATTAAGGGAGTGCATTCAGATCAGGATCCTCAGGAAACAGTGAATGTTAAGGTTTCCCTGGCTCCAATTAACAGATCAATCCAATGTGCCACATTAATACACAGTCTCATCACTAAAATATTCCAAGGGAAATTATATGCCAGATTATTATTACTACAGGTTTGCAGGGGAAATACTGCATGACATTTATGTAGTAGAAAAGGTTCTCAAGGCTGGGAGGAGAGGCCATACAGTACAGGTTACTGATTCTCAAGGCAATGATTGCATTTTGCTAGATTACATTGGCAGGTTCATCAAAAAGTCCGGGGTGAGACTTTAAGAATCTGCTCTTTTAAAAACAACCTAGCCAGGCATGGTGGTGCATGCCTGTAATCCTAGCACTTGGGAGGCTGAAGCAGGAGGATCATTGCAAGTCTGAGACCAGCCTGGGCTGCAAAATTGAGCTCAAGGTAGCCTGAACTGCAGGGCAAGACCCAGTCTCAAAAACGCAATAAATGATTCGAGCACACAAAGGTTACTTTGAGTGCTGATTGTCGTAGCAGTTGAGCATCTGACTCTGAATCAGAAGAACCTAAGTTCAAATCCAGGCTCTGCTACTAGCTCTGTGACTTTGAAAAAATATTTGACTTCTTGAAGGCATAGTTTCCCTTTCTGAAAAATGAGGTAATAAAAATGCCTGCCTCTCTGATTGCTGTAAGAGTGAAAAAAGCACATGTAAATCATGCAAAAAGCCTAGAAAATCTTTAACGTATAGTAAGCCCTTATTTATTAATCATGTATATTTTGTAATTTATCTTACTGAGTAAAATAACTCCAGCACAAGAACACTATCTGGAACGTGGTAAATACAGATTATTTTGTCAGTTCTGATGTTACCCTTTAAGAGGACCAGCAAATTCTCATTTTTTTTCTTGGTAGCCTGCAACCATGAACGATGTCCAATTAGCCTATAATTGTCATACCATAAGAAAGTCCCAACCTAGCCACATGGAAGGCTACATGGAGATGCCCCAATTCTACCAAAACTGTAAGTATAGCCTCCTTTGGCTTGCCAGGCTAGCCCCGTGCCTAAAGCCAAGGACATGAACCACACCAACACTGTCTGAAATGTTATCTTAATTTTATCACCTTGAGAAGACATCTTAATATTTCTTCAAACAAACTGTACAGCTAACTTATGCTTTTATTTTAGGAAAAACGATTTTCCAAATTCCATTTCTCCCATGTGTTTTTGTCCAGATCAAACTGCCCTGGAAGCGTGTTAATGTTCCACCTGCCTAATTCACTAGGTCCCTTTCATGTTTCTTCTATCACACAGTTATAAATGAGTTATGCAAACCTCCTCTTCCTTGCCTCAGTCTTCTTTAATAAGTTCAGTGACCTAACAGCTCATGGCTCAGAGAAAGGAGGTGGGCTCATTAGAGTTCTGCACCTTGAAGTAATTCCTGCCCTTGTCTTGATGATTCATAGAGGGTGAACCCCCCCTATTTATTTTGGCTGATGAGTATCAGACAAGTCTTCTTGTCACTTGGTTACTGATAGCTTTCATTCTCTTTAAGTCTAAGTGAAAATGACATTATATTTCAGTTCATAAGCATAAATAAAAACAAAGATCATTATTTTTAGGTTAGTAAGAAATTTAAATTATTTTACTGACATTTCAAATCTGTCTTTCCAAGTAACTTTAAGTTACTCGAATTCTTGATTTAATTTTCACTCAGCATGTCAATACTGTAACTATGCTAATGAAAAGAACTTTCCAGTTCCAACTTAATTACTTCATAGACTCTTGGGGAATTTTGTTTCAATCATAGTAGAAATCTGTTTTTGTTCTGAAAAGGATGGTTCTGAGCCCAAACGCTTAACTCTACTGTACAAGATATGGTCACACTAATATCAACATTGTGTACAACTTCCAATGTGTCACACACGTGGAAACATCACCTTGGGGCTCAACTTTAGCCTTTTTGTGCTTATTAGGATTTCTAATACCTGTGCTGTATAACAAGTGTTGCAGGGTTTATTTATTTTATATATTTGGTACAGGGTCTCACTACCCAGCTCAGACTTGTATTGAGTCTCCTGTTTTCAGCCTCCCCAGCGCTGGGATTTACAGGCGTGCACCACCATGCCTGGTCTCAGTGGCCAGCTCAGCATGCCTGGGGCAGGGCTGGCACTGCATATGGCAATGGGGATCAAACCCGATCCCTGTGGTTGCCTAAGCAGGTGCTTAGTCCACTGAGCTATCTCACCAGCCCAAGGGGTATATTTAAAACTTTCTTTGCCAAAAAGTATTCCTCTTTCTATGTGTACTTTTTATTGGACTCCACACCTCATACATTTGCCAAAACTACATGAGTATACATTGCAGATTTGAAGGTTTTAATTTCCTAAAATACCACATTAGATCAAATACAAAATTGGCTAACACCACTCTCACTGAACTAGGAAGACAAGACAGAAGAAAATATTTTTACTCTCTTTGTTTTATAACTGAAGAAGTAAAGGCTTAAAATGTAAAGAAATGCTATTAAAGCTGGTAAGTGAAAGAAATTTAAATACAGGCCAAGCTGACTCTGGAGTACGTGTCTGGACCACACTGCTCTACTGGTGTCTTGTTTAATACGTGAGTAAAATCTCACTTCCATGGCACATGTCCAGGACAAAAATCTAATTTAAAATATCTACCAGAATAGTAAAGATTGGTTATCACAATTAAATGTCAATTACAATAATGTTTCAATAGGCTTTCAAGAGCCATGGCAGAGGATTTAGCCTTGACTGCATTCCCTCTTCTAAATATCTTCCTTATCATCCTTAAGTAGAATACAGGAGCTACTACAAAAGATTATTAGAGGGAATTGAATTGGTATTATGGTTTAAATGGCCGAGAGAATACTATTACATAAGCATATAATCATTTTTGGCATCAGGAGCCACATGCAAAACCATAAATCGCGCATATCAACACAATCATTTATGTCCTGAGTCCTCGCTGACCTTGAAAGGCTAGGGCCAAAATGCTGGCTGTCCTTGCAGCCCTTCTTTTTCTACTTTTGAGTGCTTACACTAGGGATACTATAAAACATTAACACATATAAGTCTGGCTTATTTCACTTATGAGTATATCTTTAAGTGGCATCCACTTAAATATAAAGGCTTTGACTTTATCATTCTTTCTAGCCCTTCAAGGTCAGTGAGGACTCAGGACATAAGAAAACCTGTACTGTAACACACTGTAACTCAGCTGTGTCCCAAATTTTCTGATAGAGGAGATTATGAGGCCACAGAGGAAAGTGATCAATGACATAGAGTGTGCCTAAGGAGAGTCACATGGAGAGAAAACATTCTCTCAGGCTTTCACAGAGCAAACTGGTCAAGCAATCGCCATGACTCCTATACATGGCTGACACTGACAAAGGATCTACAAACTGTAGTACAGGGTTTCAGGGTAAATCCTGAGGGGATTTGACTGACCTTGACAGATACAAATGTTACATTTCTTGTTATATAGGTCTTGCTTTATCTTGGTCTTAACCATCCAGCAGAAAAGCATAAAAATGAGGTATAAAAAGTAAAGCCATATTAATATGCTGAGCTGTAAAAGGCTCAAGTCAACAACTTCTGACGTTGCCAGTCCTATGAATAACACACTACTATTACAGACTACTAGAGTATATTGGATTATTTTGCTGAATTGATGCACCTACAATATTTAAATGGCAATGGAATACCCATCTCTAACAAACTAAACAAAAAAGGGGATACAAATGAAGGACCATTTTGTATCTATATATACAAAATAGTTAAGATACATATACAGCTACTTTCTCTTAATTTAATGAGAAGAAAGATTTGTACTAACAGTGTTTGGACAGGATATCATGTCTGCATCTTGTACTATGAATAACCACTATGAAGACAACAATATGCAACGTATTAATTATTGAAACTGTCTTACTAATCGGTTTTGAAACTGTCGCATTGCTATTTATTTCTCAATAAAATTAATAGCAAGCAATCAAGCAAGCACAATCACTGCTGGGGCACACACTCTGGAGGTGCCCCCTCTGTGCTCACCAAGGTTCATGATTACGGAGACCTCATGACTCTCAGCAGGGGTGATTTTGCACACAGCGCTATTTGATAATATGCAGACATGCTCTCACCTGTCATAATTGGGAATGTGCACCTAGAATCTAAAAAACATGGGTCAAAAACCCTCCCGTCATTCCCCAATGTACAGTAGTGAGCTATGTTCATATGCTAGAGTTGAAAAGTCCTAAATGTGTTCCTGATCCAAGCGGTTTTCATGTGGACTTATAGAGAACAATTATTATAAGTAATTAACATGGACCCATTGGTAATAGACCATCACTGGGAGAAGAAATCATTTTCCACGTGCAGAATATGATTCCACAATGCAAAAAACGATATCCATAATTACTGCTGTCTAGACTTTTGAAAAGTGTAGGCACATGGAGCTCAGACCGTTTCACTGAGAAAAAGGCCCCTTCACGTTATCTAGGTAGAGGCTTCATGAGCCCATCAACTCAAATTTTTCACATGTGCCTGCCCCAAAGATTTTCATAAGTCCTCTGTTAAACTGATTTAAGTTAATAACCAAGCCAAAGAAAGCATCAAAATCTAAAATAGCAGCATGGAAGAAGGTAGTACTGACACCTGTGGCTTGGAAACAAAGACATGAAAGTCAATTTCAGGCTGGCCAAATTGCTCAGCGGGTTAAAGCGCCTGCTTAGGCCGATGAGGGGGCTGGAAGTTTGATCCACAGGCCTGCCATGCTAGCTCCGCCTCCAGGGTGTGCTGAGACAGCAGATTGATACTGGGCATAGTGGCGCACGCCTATAATCCCAGCACTTGGGAGGCTGTACACAGGAGGATCACTACAAATCCAATCTATGCAGTGAGACCCTATACACCCTGTACACCCTGTCCTAAACACAAAAAGAAAGAAAGTAAGTAAGTCAATTTGAAGGTACCTTCCCTCCCTCCACAGAGCTCTCCAAGTGCTGTTCTGTGGGCAGCATTACACAGGTCACTCTATTTACAGTAGGTGCTGCCCTAACTAAATACTGCAAATGCTGAAGTGCTTGTGCTCCGGATGCCGTCTCTCCTCTTCTCCACGCACAGCCCCGGGCCCCCAAAGTGCAAGCCACCCACCTGTGCCATGACTTTACAAAGCCACTTGGGGTCCACAAAATACAAGTCGCTTAACTGCAGTGCAGGATCTTGGAAATGAAGAAGAACTCCTGTAATTAAAAATAAAAAAAATCATCAAACAGCAAAACATGGAATCTGGAACAGAAAAAAATAAAGAAGCTTCAGAGCAAATCCAGTTCAAAGACCTCTCCTTCCACAGGAGGGGCCTCGTGGCAGAGCAGGGACTAGCTCCTACGCCTCCTAGATGCCTAGCTCTAACACCCTACTGTTACAAGGAAATATCTTTGAACCATACAGACTGACCCTATAGAAGAATATTCGAGATAGCACTGTGCCCTAAAGAGCACGTATTTGCAAAAAATTTAAAATTCACAATTTTCTTGTTAGCTTCTACAGGAACCCTGCAAAGTCACACCTTATTTTCAATACAGATGAGAAACACAACATAGCTTGCCATATCTGAATTGCAATAAAGGCAAAAGGAACAGATTATAAACTACCCAAAGATCTTTTCCTTATTATATAATGCAGGGATCAAAAACAGCATCCAAGCCATTTATTTTCATATTAAAAATCAACCCGCACACTTTTAGCAAAATGATAATGATCAAGGACACAGCGAACAGCGCAGGTGGTTTGGGAGTTTTCACTATGGGATCCACAAGTGATGTGACACAGTGATGACGCAGCCAGCCACCACCAACTCTGCACGGCCCAGTCAAACCATCACCATCATTTATTTATTTATTGGATACAGGCTCTCACTACGCAGTTCTGACTCCTAATGATCCTCCTGTTTTCAGCCTCCCCAGCACTGGGATTACAGGCATGCACTGGTAGCTGGCATGGCATGCAGGACTAGGGATCAAACTTGGGTCCTTGTGCTTGCCAGGCAGGCATTTAGACCGCTGAGCTATCTCCCCAGCCCCATAATTCCTGACAGTACAAACATATCTTTTACATGCACTAAATCTATTTGCTATTATGAAAGGACACAGCTATGCTGAGTTGGAAGTCTCCTGCCTAGCAAAGCTGTGTTCTAAGACCAGCCTGCTTCAACTCCTGCTCGCTGGCTCGTCCCTACGCCGTCCTTAGATGACTTCTAAATGCATTTCCTTATAACGTGTTGTAGGATTCAACGCAGTGATCTATGGATTCTTTACAAGATTCAGACATCTATTTGCAACCAAGCTTTGAAAAAAAGGAATATGAAACACAAACCTGATTCATTTAGGAAATGAACGGCATGAGGAAGCTCATTTTCATCTAATTGTAGCTGATTTTCCTTTACCAGTTGTAACAATCGTTTCCGGTCAATTACAGGAAATTCAATTGGCACGTTTTTACGCTCCATTAAAATGATTTTCTCAAGTTCTACGTAGCAATCTGGAATTAGCTGCCCCACAACAGGCTGATCCCTGATCTATGAAATTACAATGAAAAGCTGTAAGCATCCATTGTAGTTACGCATTTGTCAGGTAGTGGGTAAATCCAGTGCTAAATTTAAACACTAATGACGATATTGTGCAAAAACATATTTTAATAAAATCAAAATATGACGTAAAGCTCTCTGAATTGTAAATAACAGAGGATTAAATTGAAGTAAATAAAGAAAATATAGACAGAAGGCCCATTTGGAAATATCAAATAAAGTAGCACAAAAATATTTATCTAGTTATCCAGAAATTGCAAGACAAAAACTAAGACAAATCACGCACCATAAAAATTTTTTTGGGTCTGTGAGACAGAGGACTAAGTGCCTGCTTAGGCAAGTGCAGGAACTGGGTTTAATCTCCAGCACCACAAGCCACACCAGCCCCGCCTCCAGGCATGCTGAGCTAGCCACTGAGACCAGGAGTGGTCTCACATGCCTGTAATCCCAGCGCTGGGTAGGCTGAGAAAGGAGGATCACTATGAGTCCAAGCTGCGTAGTGAGACCCTGTACCAAATACATAACAACAAAAAGACTTTCTATTTTCCAAAACATTAAGCTCATACATAATAGGCCTGTTTACATATCAGTAGGTATTACAAGATACTTTTAGGTATTAGATATTAAATAAAAATCCATTCAGAGGTGAAACATCAAATTTTGTGCACTAGCAGACTGTAAATATCAACAGTTAAGCCTGGAGACATGAAATACTTATCCAACCATGTTTCTCATGAAGTCTTAAATATGGGAAAATGAAAAAAATCACCTAACACCAATGATTCTGACATACAAGGTCGATCCTTGGTCTGTCTCCCTTTGAATCTAATCACTCGCAATTGAAATAAGATTTTAAAACAACGGTCTTAAGATAAAAATATACTAAACATATTTCCAAACCTATTATTCCTTTGAGACTAATCTGACATAGAAACACAACCCTGGCAATAGTAACCAAAATACCTCTAAGAACCACCGGGTGGCAAACTCTCCCCATTTTTGGATTCCTGAAACCATCTCCTTTTCACCTGACAGGACACAGAACAGCTACTGAAATTCTTAAGCTTATTACAAAATAAACTGGGCCTCCTTCACACACACAAACACGAACATTTACCTTGCTGTCTTCCTACATGCAGGTAAAACACGAAGGAGCCTGCTCTCCCGTAGCCTAAAGCAGCGGTCCTCACCCCAGGAAATTAAATGCAGTTCACCTAACATCCAATTTCCATGCTCCTCCTTGTTGTTATTTACAAATTCAGATAAAACAGAATTTCCATTTGAAGAGTATGTCTTAACTCAGGGAAGAAAATTCACATATAAATGTAAATTCTGAAAGCAATTCACATGGAGAAGGGGATGACTATCACAGGGCTGGGGCACAGGGCCAGCAAAGATGCCTGCTCTGCTAATGGGCATCTAGGGTCAGGACTGAAGAGAGAACAGTTGGCATCAACCTCAGTTTTGCTCTGCTCTCCCCCTCTCTTTCTAGCTTGACTAGGCTAGCCAAAATAGCAGCAGCAGCAGCAGCAGCACTATCCTTTTATTCTAAAAATGCTGTCAAGACTCATGTTTATGAGAACAGGAAAAGCTTCCAGAACAACCAGGATAGGATGATCTCCAACAGAACAACAGCTGCCATATGAAGACAGAGCAATGACTAACAGAGGAAGCAACGTGCATACGTCCGTGAGCTCACTGGCCCTGGCTCTTCTCAAGAGTCACCATTGTACAAAGTAGTTCTTTGGGTTTTGATTTTTACTTTATTTTATTTTATTTTTTCTGTATTCTAGGGAAGGGTCTACAGGCTGTTCAGGGTCTCACTACTAGATCGGATTTGTAGTGATCTACCTGTTTACAGCTTCCCAAGTGCTAGGATTACAGGTGTGTGCCACCACGCCCAGTCTCAACTGCCGTCTCAACGTGCCACAGGGGCGGGGCTGGCAAAGCAGGCCTGGGGATCGAACCCCAGGCCCCTGCGCCTATTTGCAGGTACTTTAATCTGCTGAGCTATTTGGCCAACCCTAAAGTTTATTCTTCTTCTTGGTGGTACCAGGGATCAAACTCAGAACTTTATGCTTGCCAAGCAAGCACTTATTCTACTGAGCTATCTCCCCTTCAATGGGTTTTAAAACAAATATTCCCGAATGATGCATCCATTAGGCGTATTTAAATTTTATTAAGTAATAGTCTCATCTCCCAAAGCGGTTTTCCCCCCTTGCATAGAGTTGTTTTCAAAGTTCCTTTACAAAGGCCAGAAGAAACCTACTGCGACTGATTGATAGTGATACCTTGCTACAAGACACAAGCAACACAAATGCAGTTTCATGAGCTGACCACCTCACCTGTAGACTTCGTGTTAATTAAATTCAGGCTTTTTTCAGAACAAGCTCATCCTCCAGAGGGATATTTAAACAGAATACCATACCTGCTTTGACAACAATGACCAAATAAACAGCTACTAAAATATTCTAAGTAGCAACAAAGCTCTGTATGGGTAAAGACTCAAAAGAAAACTACCTGCATAAACATGTTAATGGTATGAATGAATTTTGCATATTGGCTATTTTAAAAAGTCATATTTTTAAAAGTCATCGCACAGGAGAGTAGGAAATTTTTCAAGTACGTAATGCCGTTCTTTTACAAAATGCCACTACCAGTCCTCTACCAAGGCCTTTTAGTCACCATAATAAATGTGTTCTGAGAGCGCCAGGCACATTCTCTCCCTGGACACCCAAAGGTCAATATATTTTAAAGTGGCTCATTGGATTTTGAACAAGAACATAGTCTGTGGCAGTGGAACGGAACTAAGCTAACTGGCTAACATGGAGTCATAACCAAGGCGACCATATAACTTACCATCCAAACTGGACTGTCTCTGAGTTGGAGTGAAACACTATCAATAATTACACTAAGCAGGACTCTACTAAACCATGACTGTGACCATCAGTTTTAATCAGTTAAGCAAAAAAAAAAAAAAAAAAAAACCTACATGAAATCCCCCATGATGTCCACCATTTTGATCCACCCAGGGTATCTTCTATCACAGTCTACACCATGCGCCCGCCAGAATTCAGAACAGACAACTTCCTGCAAGCATTTAAAAAGTGCTTTCCCCAGTGACCGCTGACTTGGCGTTTATAAACACTCAGCCTACTAAAAGAGAACTCTGCGAACGTAAAACTTAAGTCCTAGAATGACTGCCTAGTCTGTATGACCTAAGTAATGATTTACCTACAACTAAAAGCCAAATTAATGGTTTTGAGAATTAAACAAAAGAATTGTCTCACAATATTGGGAGAATAAGCTGGCATGGGAGTCACAGAGCAAAGAGACATAAAGGGGTGCTCAGAAGGGTATAAAATAGAAACCCCCCCCAAAAAAAGGAGCAAATGGAGAAAGAAAAGACAAAAATAATAATAAAAGAAAAAAGATCCCATGATCCCAGTATTCATTCTCATGCTTTGGATGGAGTCAGCGATGCAGGAAGTTAGGACAGAATGGTGTCAAATGTGTTTTCTATCCCTGAAATAACTTCTCGGTGTCCTGGGAACACTCTCCTAGTTTCTCTCAGGATTCTACAGTTATTTTTTATACTTTTTGCTAGGAATTACAAATGAGGTATGGCAAGAGTAAGTCATTGTAAAACTGAAGGTACCTTAATAATTCTAAGATTTATGTAAACAATCCAGAATTTTAAGATAATTAGTCTCAAGACTTCTGACATTTCTAAGCAGCGGCATAACATGAGAGTTAATAAATTCTATCTACCCACCAGTCGACAGCGCCCATCAACTGCAATACCTTGAAATTAAGACTCTCGTTGATGATGGTTTTCCGGAGCTTTGCCAAAGCGTCGGACTCCTCAGTAGCGTTCACAAAGAGATAATTTCGAATCGCAGGAAAACCTCGCTTGTTCAGGAGTTCCTTGGTGATTTTACTCACGCAGGCTTTGTGCTGCTTCTCATCGGAAACGTCCAGATGCGTGCCCACAAGAATGACGGGGGAGGAGGAAGCGCGTGCCTGGAGGGGGACACACGGGACTCTGGGGTGTGCTTTCACGTGGTATCTGCTTCTCTAGTACGCACATGCCAGCACCGAGGTACACGGCTCAGTGGCGCAGTGCCTACATCACAAGCACAAGGTCCTAAGTCCGATTCCCGCCACCCCAAGGAAATAAATAAACAAATAAATCCCTATCAGCACAGATGTAAAAGACCTCTGAAGAAGAAAATAACAACGGGCTTTCTTTCCTGGCCTGGCTTGCTGGTGTCCCCAAAGGACACAAACTTACTCCCGAGAGGCAGGCCCTCAGGGCAGTGGCGCTGTCACCACTGGAGTGCGCTCCGATACAAGGGTCCATCTGACTCCCTGCTGTGCCCCTCGCCTGTGTGCCCTCTTGCCCTTCCCCTGCTCTGGAAGGATGCAGCAAGGAGATGCCCACAAGATGCCAGTCTCTCCAGAACTATAAGAAATATACCCTGTCCTTTAAAAATCATCCATTCTCAGGTTGGGTACAACAGCGCAAAATACACAGACACGTTTCCTTGAACACAGAAAGGGAAATCTTTGGAAAATTTAAAAAGGCATTTAGTGCCCCTCCTTAACGGAATTCTCACCACACCCCAGGTGCCCACACATAGTAGTAAGGTAGGTTTTTTTTTCCTTTACATGTTTGAAATGGGTTATTTGCTAAATGTGCTTCTAAACAAAATAATCATCCCCCAAATTTATCAAAGTACCAATATAGTTTATGGTTTTCTTATTTGATGGGTGTGCTTTAAATAAAATAAGCATTCACTAAACCTCATAGCAAAGTAACATAATATGATTTATGCTTTTTATTTGTGAACATAATCTGAATTTATTTTAGAGTCAAACCATTTGGAATCTACAAAGGAAGAAAACAGCCACTAAGTCAAGCACTGCTGCCATTGTAAAACTTGCCCACATTGTTGGGGACAAGCTATAATAAAGTCAAGGAAAAAGTTTAAAGAATTAATCAGATTCCAAAAGAAGTACACACACAGCCAAATTTTATCTCAAGGACAGAAGGACGTCAGTCAAGGGACAGCTCAGCGGAGCCCCGGCCAGTGAATGTGTGCTGTCCCCTTAGCCTCAATTCTAAAAGCCACACTGCTTCAAGAAAAAGCTGGCAGCAGGAAACCAGGAGGAAAGGCAAAAATTATAACACAAAAAGAAATTCCACATATGAGAGTCGGGTAAGTCCGAGGGTACAATCTGAAGGACTTCACGCAAAGTTGCCGGTGAGCACACAGCTGTTGAAATACCCACCGCTTTTCTCTGGCACGCTTCATTTGAAATCAAGAAAGCTTCTTTGTCTCTTAAGAAGTAATAAAGTCAAAATTAATTGAACAGAATATACTTTTGAGTTTTTATAGTACAAGAGGATTTGGTATGGATAATCTTCACCAAAATGGAATGCATTATTCTTTTGCATTAGGAATTCCTTACTCAGAAAATTTTCCAACTCCCAACTTTTAGTGTTCTAATTGGAAAAAGAGAAAATTCAG